CCCCTACCCGCCGTATATGTGACCATGGCCGTACCGGCTGCTTTGATCCCTCCGACCCAGCTGGTCCCCCCTCAGCCTCCGGTCTCCACTTCGGCCGCCTGCACCACCACCACCACCACCAACTCCTCGTCGGCCACCTCCTCGCCCTCGCCGTCCATCGCTCCCCCGACGGCCGCCTCGGGGACAAACCTATTCCGGCCGGAGCCCATGGCGGCGGCAGCAGCGGCGGCGGCAGCCCCAGCCTGGGCACCGGCGGCGGCGGCAGCGGCAGCGGCGGCGGCGGCTCCACTCCCAATGCGGGCGCGGGCAGCGCGGGCGGCCCCGTGCCCGGCAAGCCGGTCTACTCGACCCCGTCGCCGGTGGAGAACACCCCGCAGAACAACGAGTGCAAGATGGTGGACCTGAGGGGGGCCAAGGTGGCCTCCTTCACCGTGGAGGGCTGCGAGCTCATCTGCCTGCCCCAGGCTTTCGACCTCTTCCTCAAGCACTTGGTGGGAGGCTTGCACACGGTCTACACCAAGCTGAAGCGCCTGGAGATCACGCCCGTCGTGTGCAACGTGGAGCAGGTCCGCATCCTGAGGGGGCTGGGGGCCATCCAGCCCGGCGTCAACCGCTGCAAGCTCATCTCCAGGAAGGATTTCGAGACCCTTTACAACGACTGCACCAACGCCAGGTACGCGCCAAAGCGCTCGCGGGCCCCGGCGCCCCCCACCGCCGCCGCCGTCGCTTCCCGCGGCCGCCGAGCCAGCCCGGGGGGAAAGGGGAGGGGGGCGGCCCGCCGCCCCCCGGCCCGCGCGCCCCCTCCCTCCCCTCGTTGCCTGCCCCCCTGCAGCCCCCCCCGGCGGCCGCCTCGGTCGCTCCGTGCTGGGACAGAGAGAGGAGAAGGGGTTTTAGGAGAAGGGGTGTTATTGCCCCCTGCCCCCGGGTGCCCTCGGTGGTGATYGTGACACTGCTGTCCCCGTCCTGCCCCCTGCCCCCTTCGTGGCCGGGGGGAGGTGTGGGGGGGTGCTGGAGCTCGGGGCAGACCCGCGCGCACTTTTGCGCGGGGAGAGGAGCCAAAAAGTGCGTCCAGAGATGCCCCCCATCTCTCCCGCCTGCCCGTAGCTTTGCACGTGGACGTAGCTTTAAATATAAAGAAACGCCGTGCGGGGGGTGTGCAGCGATGTGGGGAGCGGCCCCGGGTGCGCGGCTCGGGGGGGAACGGGGGCGGGTTTCGCCCGCACGGGACGAGGCGCCYCCGGGGGGGCCCATCCCGGGCTCGGGGGTCCCGGCCGCCGCCGCTGTCACACGGCCCCGAGGACACGTGCGCTTTCCGTACCGGCCTGCGAGGCGGCTGCCACATGGCGAGCGGCGGCGAGGAGGGCGGGAAGGCGGCAGGGCAGGAAGGTGGTGTCGGATGGGGCTTTTTTTTCCCTTTCTTTTTCTTTCCGCGGGGCATTCCCCCCGGGACGCCTGGGCCCTGCGAGGGCAGCGAGGAATCCCGCCCCCCTCACGCCCTCCCTCATCCCCACGTGCAACCCCACGCGAGAGGTGGGAGAGTGGGCGGGGGAGGAGGAAGACAGAAAGTCTCTAAAAGGAGAAGAAAGGCCCTAAAAGTGCGGGGGGGGGGGGGGGGGCTCGCAGCTTCGCAGGTCGAATCTGTCCCGGTGAGGAAGGTGGTGGTTATGGGGAAAGCGGGGAGGAGAAGGGGGGTCAGGGCGCGCTGCGGGGCGCCGGGAACTTCATTCGCCCGGTAGCCAAAGTGCCCGTCCCGGTGGCCGCTGCAGCCGGGTGCACGTGGAGCATCCGCCGCGGCCCGGCTGCGGCTGCTGCCGAGCGCCCTCCTGAGCATCCCGGCACGGACACGCGGTGGGGAGCAGCTCCGGAGGGAGCAGCTCCCGGGGTGACCCGCTCCAGGGGTGACCCGCTCCTGGGGTGACCCGCTCCTGGGGTGACCCGCTCCTGGGGTGACCAGATCCTGGGGTGACTCACTGCGGGGGTGGCTCACTGCGCGGGTGGCTCCTGGGGTAACCAAAACCTGGGGTAAATCATCCCGAGGTAACGCCGAGCCCCATCCACGTCCACGGGGATAGCGCTTCCGAGGCGGTGCTTTGCGCGTGGCAAGAAAGTTGCAGCAACTCTGCGGGAGTCCCCACGTTTTGGTCCTCAAAATAAAGCTCGTGTGAATCTTCTCTCCTTGCCACTTAGGTGATTTATAATTTGAACATGAAAGATTAAATATTATGGCAAGTTCTTTTTTTTTTTTTTTTTTTTTTTTTTTTTTT